GAAATATTTTTTTAACTGTTAAGTGTTGGCGCATTTTAATAGATCTGAACGTAGAAAAGGAATAATGCTTAGGTACTTTTAGATTTTAGTATAAAATGCGATATTTGCCATTACAATTGTCGATTATATGGACGTTACAAATTTTACTATTACTATTTTTGCAGTGCGTAAATAATTTTGGAAAACAGTGTCAAGAATTGTAATTTATCAAGATTATAATAGGGAATATTGTTGCCATCTTTTGGACAGTTATCACTTTCACCATATTTCTATTACATTTTATTACAATTCAATATGAGTATTCTCTATTTTGAATTTATTCACTTAATTTACGCAATTTCTTTATTTTCTTTTAATTTTAATTTTAACAGTCACTGCTAAATGCACTTACGTTTTCGTTGATTCCGTTGTCGTTTCTTCCTTGGATGGGGTCTCCTCAGCTGGTGTGACTTTCGTAGGACCAAATTTTGTAACTGTAACAGTATCAGAAATCGTCAAATATAAATTTTCTGCAAAGTGAAAAATTAAGATACTTAATCCTCAATTATTTCCAAAATTGATATTCAAGCAAATAAATTGAATATCCAAACATTTTTTCTTTAATTTTAGTTACTTATTAAACTTTTAAAATTTACACATTGCTCGAGTTTCAAACAAAATAAAAACATCCGATTGAAATTGAACAAAACAAAGGTAGCGCTAATTACGTACAAGAAATACAATATTTAAACCGTTTAAATACACCCGTTAGTTGCAATTAGTATCAGATTATGCGCGATAAAAGGGTTCGAAGACAAAACACGGCAAACCGGCACCCATTTTAACAAGAAAACCTGCTTTGTCAGTTTCCCGTTGAAAATTCAAGGAAACTGCGAGCAAAAAGGACCTTGGAAATTTCTGCACACGGCAAAACCCAAGTTCCAGATGCTAATAAGTAAAAACATCCATTGCTGTGTAATCGGATTCGTATTTCAAAGTGAATAGAGTATTACTAATAAGCTTAAATTTTAATACCCGATTATGTAAATGAATCAGTCATTCTCAAGCTTTCACCGAAAAAGTGAAGTAAGTGTTAACGAATCTGAAGGAAACGTTGATCTTGCAAACAAATTCTTGCGTTAAATAATTTCCTGGATTTACTAGATTAATTTTCTAAATTACAGAAGTGACTGTTGCATATATTAGATTAGAGCAGGCTCAGATTATAGTCATTTCACACCGGATTGAAAGACTTTTTATAAATTGGAGGAATTTCTTAATAGCATCGCCTGTAACTACTTATAACACCTTCGTGTCTTTTCATTTATTAAATAATGGATTGGCTAAATATTGTGTCTGCACATATCAATTATAACAACAAACTTGCGCTTTTCGGAATACGATATTACGCTATTCAGTAGTAATTCGAGACGTTGTTGCAATAATTTTGTGCTTGATTTAATATATTTTTCGTTCGACTCGTTTTTATTCGCATTCAAAATTAACGCCGACATTAATGCATTTCGCTTGTTTTCGTCGAAACAATACCTTATTGTTCTACAAATTCTCTTTATTAATGTATCATATTTCGTTCTTTTAATACAATTCTATCTTTCGTAATTAGAAATTTCAAAGTGTTTGCCCATATTATAACACTTTTCATTCATTACTTTCTGAATGACATTAACACAAATACGTTTTATCAGAAAATCAGTTTAAAACTTTTTGTGACAGACAGTTAATTACTCAACCATTTAGCAGTGAAACAATTTTTTTCTTACACAATTTAGCTAACAATCTTTGAGTTTTCAGAGTTTTTAATAAAATATCCTTTATGTGTGTTGCTTACTATTTAAAAAAGGGTTAAAACAGCCCAGTTAAATAGTATAATTTCAATTTCAATTTTAGCCGCACTTTCACACAAAAATAGCTCACATTTAGAATGATTTTTCGCAGATATCTCAGAATTAGTGATTTTTCAGCAAACCGACGATTATTATTTGTTCCTATTGTGGGATTCGAGAAGCTTCGGCGATAAGTCGAGAGGGTGAGCGTGTGGAAGCGAGAAAGAAAATATAAACAGAAGAGCGTGCATGCTGTGACAAAGGGCAGGGAATGCGATAATCGGCAGTTCGTATCGAAACGTAGACGCAAGAGTGCTGTTAGACGACGAACCTTTTAGACGAAGACGAGAATTGTCGAGACGCATTTTCGGTAGACGTTTAGTGTACTTCTTCCCTATTTCAACAAACCTTTTTATATTTCTCTTCCACATAATTTCACGATCACACCTTTATTTATTTCTGTTCGTTCCCAAGCACCGCGACGTGGGACCGGCAGGACGAGTGCGTAGCCGAGCCGCATGGCATCAGCGAAACCGTGTTACAATGTCGCGATAAGGCCTTCGACAAAGGGATCGCGCGAGGAACCGAAGCGGGACCCCGGTTCCCGAGACGAGAGGGCTCGAGTGTTTCTTCGCTTGAGGGGACTCGCGTTGGGTCCTGTGTCGCATGGGCCACCAAAAGCGATGATCGCTCGACGTCTTCCGGTTCGCGTCGTACTTACCGCCACCGCGTCAGGTGTGGACGGCTCCGTGCTATGAAGCACGGAGGTTTTCACGCTCGAAGCGCATTTCTAACGAGCCACGCCTAGCACGCATAGAAACCTATTACAGTATATTCTCCACAAGTGTCAGACCGCAAGGAAGCTAAACCTGACACTCGTAGAGTCAGGGACTACGTTTTCGAGCCTCGCGCCCGCCTTTGTAGTTTGCCAAACGTAGACAAGGACAGCGAATAAAAGATAAGCATGAAACGTGTGTCGAGACAACCAAGCGATTAAAATATCAACTTTTTTAATTTTTCTGATGAAAATGACATAAAACACGACATAATTTGAACAACATTTACTTATTAACACGTTCATTGTCACCCCAGATTTACAGGTTGCTGTCAGGCGGCCACAAGAAAATACATACATTTTAAACATAGGATTATAGTATTATACTTTATAATTTTTTTTTTTTAATTGAAAATAATGTCTAGCTAGCTATGACGTTCAAAATTTTTAGTTGACAACATTTATTTTATTTTAATTATTCTAAATATTTGAGGCACTCCAGTCACTGATGACCACCATGGCCATATCGAGGAAACAATCTAACGTTAAAACTTATTGGGTGATTAATTTAATTTCATAATATATCGCTTTAGTGAGCCACCGTTTGGTTGCCAATTGTTTATCACATAGAGTCGGCCTACATCCACGTAACAAAAAAAAAATGTAGGGTCGATTCGAACAAGTGTCAGTAAAATGTAGGGTCGATTCTAGCAGAAAAGCTGCTAAACAATTAGAATTAAATGTAACGATAGAAATTATTGCAATAATGCGTAATGCAATTGAAAAATTGAAAGAATCAAAAGAAAAAACGCGAATTCGTATCTTTTTCGATTCTAGAATATAAGAAAATTTGAATAAAATACGCGACGAGAATTGGGGAGAAGCATAAGTTAAACGCGTAAAAATATTCAATAATAAACGAACTAGGGATGAAGCTATTATTTCAATACGCGATGCACTGACTCTAGTATTTACTAAAATTCAAAAATTCTCGTATAAATTCCGAAAATAGATTATTAATTACGGTAAACTACTGAGACGGTTTAATTAAGGGTGGGCATGGTGCTGCTTTAGTTTGAAATGATTTATAAACACATAATTAACAGAGGAAAAACATTTATTTCATGGTATTGTAACAAGCAAACGTTGAATACATTTTTCATTCGTGTAAGAAGAATTATTTAACACGATAAATTTAGCTGTACTATGGTTATTTTTAATCTACGACCACAGGTCAACCTGATTTTTAATCCCTACGAAATTAATTTAACCACGAGTAAGTAACGAGAACGCTAAAACCTATGTTTCCATTGAAGAATATTGTAAAAACGTATAAATTGTTATATGCAATGTTATAACAAATTGTCGGAAGTATAAATTTTTAATAAAATTGTGAAAATTGATAAATTATACCGTGTTACGATATCGGAAATCTCCCGCGAAAATCTCCCGCGAAAATTTCCCGCCTGACCTAACCGACGATTTTGCTAATGACTTTGGGGAGAGGGTACCGCAGGTATATAAGGACCCGCCGATGTCCCGCGAAATCATTTACCCTTTATACTGGGCCCTAGACACTTCGCGGCGTATTTTGACCTGAAGGTTCTGAGATGTGAATAGAGTGGTCGGGGGCTACTAGCTAGTCTATGTCCACCCTGTACACACTCAGCCTTCTTGTAACACTTGTATACATTAGAATCAATTAGAATTTCTATTACTAATTATTAAACAAATTTTAACAATTACCGGCACTCGCTAGGCACGTAATATCAGACTTTAAATACTCGACTTCGAACTTCGGTTTAGTCATAATTCTATTAATGTTATAATAACGTATAATTTATTAATTTTCACAATTTTATTATTAATTTATACTTCCAAAAATTTGTTAAAACATTACATATTATTATTTATACATTTTTGCAAGTTTCTTTGACAAATAAGTACGTTTCAACGATCTTATTACTTTCTCGTTGTGAAATCAAGTTCGGAGGATTAAAAATCAGGTTGACCCTTGGTCGTAAATTTAAAATAGCCATAGTGAAGGTGAAATTATTATTTTAAATAAATGTTTCTATACGAATTAAGAATCTATTCAACGTTTGTTTGTTGCAATACCGTGAAATAAATTGTATTATATATTTTCTCAGTTTAGACTGAATTTAAAGTTCGTAAGGATTAGAAATCAGGTTGACCTGTGGTCGTAGATTAAAAATAGCCATAGTGAAGGTAAAATTATTACGTTAAATAATTGTTTTTATACGAATTAAATATTGATTCAACGTTTATTTGTTGCAATACCGTGAAATAAATTGTATTATATATTTTTTCTGTTTACACTAAATTTAAAGTTCTGTTTACATGTTATAACAATTAGAATGTAGACGTTTTGCCGTTTCACGGTTTTTCCTCTGTTAATTATGTGTTTATAAATCATTTCAAACTAAAGCAGCACCATGCCCACCCTTAATTAAACCGTCTCAGTAGTTTACCGTAATTAATAATCTATTTTCGGAATTTATACGAGAATTTTTGAATTTTAGTAAATACTAGAGTCAGTGCATCGCGTATTGAAATAATAGCTTATACAGATAATCTTTTGAAATTACTCTTAATTAGGGAAAATCTTGAATCTTGTATGGAAGATGAAGATTTTCAGGAAATATTTATTTTTCAACAATGAATTTTTGTTTTATCGATTAATAACGTACGAAATGATTTTTGGAAAATTTTCTTCGTTTGAACGTTCGTTTAAGGTTCGACTATGATTATCAAATCTCTCGAAACACCGTAGAATGTTCAATTTTAAAAGTAACTTCTTCAATTTTTGGATAATCTGGGTAACGTGTTAGTGTTGACGATACACTTTCGAGTA